TCTCTCTCTCTCTCTCTCTCTCTCTCTCTCTCTCTCTCTCTCTCTCTGTATGTTTAGTGTCTCCTCTGCATCAGTGGAGTTACTTTCCAAATTAGGAATTCCTCATACCAATGAGATCACTATTCTGGACAAAAAAAAAGAAAAGAGAGAGAGAGAACCAAAGACTAATATTCAGGTAACGCTTTGTGACTTGAAGTGCTTTACACAATTAGCTGATTTGATTCTCTCAATATCCAGTGAGGTGGCCACTAGACATTATTATTATCATTTGAGTTAACTAGTGGCTCAGTGGCTAGACCACTGGCCAACTACTTAGCATAGTCCCTGGCACATGCTAGGTGCTATATATGTGCTCATTCCTTTCCTTTCCCTTTCCTTATAGCCAGGAAGATTGAGTTCAAATCCAGCCTCAGAAACTTATAAGCTATGTCACCCTGGGCAAGTCACTTAACTGCTGTCTGCCTCAGTTTCCTTAACTGTAAAATGGGGATTCTAATAGCACTTACCTGCCTGTGCTGTTGAGAGGATCAAATGAGATAATATTTATAAAGCACTTAATCCAGTGCCTGGCATGTGGTAGGCATTAATAAATGCTTGTTTCTTTCCATCCTGTTTTTATAGAAAGGCAGTGTGACCTGGTAGATAGAGAGCTGGCCTCAGAGTCAGGAAGACTTGGGTTCATGTCCTGCCTCTCACTATGCTGGTACGTGACCCTAGGCAAGTCCCTTGACATCTCAGTGCTCATAAATTGCAGGGAAGGCACTGACATGACTTGGTAGGAAGATTTTCCTTACTGGGAGTTCCCTTAAAGCTTAACTCTGGGGTAATTTCTTCCCCCAAGCCTCCCCAGTACCCCCAGCTGTCAGTGGTCTTTTCTTCCTCAAATTATGGTCCATATCCTTATCTGTGTGCAGGTTGCAGCTCCCTAAGTAGACTATAAGCTCCCTGAGGGCAGGGATTAGTTCTTTCTTTCTTTTCTTCACATCCCCAGCAGAAGGGGTGGGGCATAGGAGAAGATTAAAAAGTGCTTATCTGATTGCCCTGAAATAGAAAAACCTGGGAAAGATATGCCATAAAAACAACAGGGTTAGAAGGAAAACATTTTAAATATCAGCCCTCATCAGGGCTTCCCTGGGAAAGCAGCAGGGATTTCTCAGTGCTCACTTGCTGGCATTAAAATTAACTCAAACCTGTTTAATTAGAAGTGTGCCCTCATTCCCTCAGTATGCACCCCAGGTTTCCATGGCAACCATGGAGCTGCCCGGCCAGCCCCAGCCCGTGCCAGCCTCTGTCTCCCTTGCCCTCTCTCATTGGAGCTGATGACCCGATTATCCAGCATTTCTGCATGATGATTTTCCTCCCACCTCCCTTGAGCAGCGATGGTCAGGTCTCCTCTTTGACAATAGGGAGGCTTGCCTATAATCTGATAAGTTTCTAAATAGCACAGAAAAGGGGGTCTCTGCTCTGGCCAAAGTTGCTGCTGGAGGAGGAGGAGGAAAAGGAGGAGAAGAGGAGGAGAGGGAGAGGGGGACGGGGAAGAGCAGAGGGACAGGGAGAGGAGGAGGGGGATGGAAAGAGGAGGAGGGGGACGGGAGGAGGAGGAAAAGGAGGAGGAGTCATCGTCTGAAAAGTCTGGGCCCAGCCCCTGATGTCCTCCGCTCACCTTCCCAGCAGGACACACACAGGTGTCCCCTAAAAATAGCCTGGCACCTGCAGAGTCAGACTGCTCCATCAGCTGGGCCCTACTTTGGCTATTTGAAAGTTCTTCCATGGTTTTAATTCACTTGCATTTCTCTTTGTAACACAAAGTATTATGCCTGCCTTCTTAGCCAGCGAGGACTTGCCTTCTCTCCCTAACCTGCCTGCCCACACCTAGGCAGGCTCTGAGCTCCCTGGTGGCTCAAAGGGGACCACTCAGGTCCATGCTCAGAGCACTTGGTTTAAAGCTCAGACTACCTTTGGGCTGAGTGGGTGCTGGTTTTGAGGGAGTAATGGGTTTGGAGTCAGAAGACCTGGGTTTAAATCCTTTGCCTTTGACAAATTTAATTTCTTTTCATGGCAGCAAACTTTTATTAAATACCAACTATGTGTCAGGTATTGTGTTTGCACCTGGGGGTACAGAGATAAAAATCAAACAGTCCCTGACCTCAAAGACCTTACATTTTCCTGGGGGTGTGTGTGGGGGAATGTGTGTGAGAGAATCCAGTGTAGGTGGTATAAGGGGAAGATCACTGCCTATGAAGTCAGGACACCTGGGTTCAAATTCTGCTTCTGACTCTTATTACCCATGTGACCATGGTCGTCACTTAATCCCCCCTCTAGGTCTCAGTTTCCTTATTTGTAAGATGAGGGGGTTGGATTACATGGACTCTGAGGTTTCTTACAGTGTTGCCTCTATGAAGTTCTGTACTGATATAAAAATGATAAAGTAAGTTCAAGATGGAAAGAACGCTGATAATCAGGGGATTCAGGAAAGCACCTCTTGGGAATAGTTTCTTCATCTTTAAAATGAGGAAATTAGACTTTATGAGCCCTTTAAAATCCCTTCCAGCCTGAAATATATGATCCTAGACTTTCCCTTTTTTATGAAATCTACAGGAGATCAAGGACTACTCATTCTGTTTTTTGTCAAATTTCAGCAGTATACTTTTCAACTAGCT